GGGAAACTGAGGCACGGGGCTGCCCCAAACATGGCGGTCCGGCGGCGCGCCTGCGGGAGGTCCGCTGGTCACGCAGCTTCGGCGACATGCCAGTCCCGCACCTTTGGCGTACCCGCCGCGGGACTGCCGCCCTCACAGCGACTGGCAGGCCACCCCCCCCCCCCGCGGCTTGCCGCCCCGGGCACGCGCTTGGTGCGCTGGAGCCTCGAGCCGCCCCTGTTCACTAGGCCACCATGGTGATAATCTCTAGTAGCCCTCAGAGCAGGTGTGAGAGTCTATATTTGTTTGTAAAGCACCACTTAAATTAGTATTAGTATTGATGTAAAACCATCTGTAAGGCCCAGTTTGACAAAGCCCTGGCTGGGATGATTTAGTTGGGGTTGGTCCTGCTTTGAGCAGGGGGTTGGACTAGATACCTCCTGAGGTCCCCTCCAACCCTGATCTATGGTTTTATGATCTGGTCCTTAGCTGCATCAACAAGGAATCCAGGGGAGCTCTGGTATTTTCAAGGTGTATTTATCATCTCTCCAGAGGCTGCGACAGAGCAGCAATTGGCCAGTGAAAGAGTTAACGGTATTTTAATATTTTGGGTCATTTCCTTTTGTTCCTCGGCCAACCCCAGCAAAATGTTCCTGCTGTCATAAAAAAGCCAGAACACTCTGCCACAGGCCCACAGCCAAGGCGATTGTGCAATAAACCCCATCAAAGTCCTGGGGAGTTCTAACACGGCAATCAGGGGACATTGTGAAAGTTTGTCACGGCTGGAATCTGGTGTCTTGTTTGCAGAAGGCGTGGACTGTGTTGAGACCTGGTGCACCCATGCAGGCATGTTCTAGTGAGCTTGGCGTGAGCAAGGAGCTGTTTGCCTTACCTCCTGTGCGGGTGGTGGAGATCAGACAGTTAATAAAGTGCTTTTGACGATCCGGGCTAGTTATGAATAAATTCCTCGGCCCATTTGGACAGAAACAGGCCCATGGGGTTTACAGACTCGGGCAGCCCCTCTGGATTTGCAAGGTTAGGAAGGCACCATGCCTAAGGGGATGGTGTCTTGTCCAGAATGCTCTTTACTCCTCTGAGATGATTGTGGGGCTTGAACGTCCCCCAGTGGACATTGGGATGAGGCAGGATGGTGCAGTGGTTAGGGCCCCTGTCTCTGGCCTGACAGCCCTGCTAACTCCTGGGGGATCCCGGTGTAGTAGAAAAAGAGCCTGAGACATGAGGCCTGGTGGTAGAGACCTGGTATGAGGCCCAAGGTTGAACTAAAGTAGTGGTCAAGCCCTGCTGCTATGAAGCAAAGGTAGTAAGAGTCAAGCTGGGAGCAGAAGTCAGGCCCTGTTATAAAACATGCCTGCTTACAAGTTCACAGAACCTGGTAAGAACATGGCTGGTATTGCAAAAACACAAACATTCCTGAGAAGTGATAGGCACAGACCACTTGTGATGCTCTGTACCTCGGGGGAACACCCAGCACCCCTACGTTCATTTTTATAATATGATTGTGTGATATCCAATGCAAAATTTGTCATGTTGGGTGTCTTCGGAAGGCTTGTGATGCACTGTGCATTGTTATAGTGATGTTATAGGTTGTAATTTAATGTATATAGTTATGAGACTGAAAATGTGTCCTCATGGCTTAAAACAAGCCCCGGCAAAACTCTCCAGGAGCAGAGGGGCAGTGCACACCTCATCAGGACATTTGTGGGACAAACCCAGCCAGCCTCACAGGAACAAAGGACGCTGGCCTAGGCAGCAACAAAGAATCTGTTGGACTCTCGAGTGAGTCACCCCCCTTCCCTTGGTGAGTTTGGGACTACAATGAGGTAATGCTCACCTGACTGTGAATGGGAGGAGGGGCAAAGCCAGAAGGGAAGAAAGAACATGATAAAAGGGAAAGACGTTTGCCATGCTCTTCCTCTCTCTTCCACCTCCATCTACAGACACCACCACCAAGCGACTGAAGCGCTGACCAAAGGGGAGAGCCTGGCTGAAGAGCAACCAGCCAGCCTGTGGTGAGAAGCATCTAAGTTTGTAAGGGCACTGAAAGTGTTAAAATCAGCTTAAAATGTGTTTTGCTTTTATTTCATTTGACCAAATCTGACTTGTTGTGCTTTGACTTATAATGACTTACAATCTATCTTTTTAGTTAATAAATTTGTTTATTCTACCTGAAGCTGTCTGTTTGATTTGAAGCGTGTCAGAGACTCTCCTTGGGATAACAAGGCTGGTACATATCAATTTCTTTGTTAAATTGACAAACTCACATAAGCTTGCAGTGTCCAGCGGGCATAATGACACTGCAAGACGGAGGTTCCTAGGGTCGTGTCTGGGACCGGAGATATTGGCTAGTGTCATTTGGTTGCACAGTCCAAGCAGCGTCTGGCCAAAAGTGCTCACTCGCGTAGCTGGGAGCAGCTTACATGCTAGAGGCAGTGTGTGAACAGCCCAGGAGTGGGGGTTCTCACAGCAGAGCAGGGTAATGCTGGCTCCCAGAGTCGAGGATTGGAGTGACCTAGCAGATCACCAGCCCAGATAACACCAGGGGAATGTCACACCACTCACACAAGCACATTCCAGAAGTGTGGTACCAAAACACCCCGATACCAAGTACGGTACAAACACATTCCCCAAAGATAACAGGAACATGCTGACCCCTCTTAAAGATAAGGTCAGGATGACAGGGTGATGGATAGAAATGTTTTCATTGAACCAACATATACAAGGTGATGGGTGGTAACTAACCACATCAGAGAGGCAACACATAACTTGTTTGCATCAAGGTATAAAGAGGTCTCAGAGGGAGTGTCCTTGTCTGGCCTAGCGGGGGAATGGAAAATCCCACCATTCACTGGGCTGGTCCCTTGTAACGGGCATACGTGGCTCAGTAGTTCTATAGAGTCAACGGGATACTAGTACCGTGCTTCATTGACAATAAACCTGACCAAGCGCCGTCGCTACTGAAACGGATCTGTGGTTTTACTGGGCCGTTTGGTCGAGGTGTGCCGCGTCTGCACAGAGCTGGGGCAGCGCACTGAAAGACCACACATACATGCCGCCAATGACTAACTACAGCCCGGGCATAGAGGTTTCTCACGACCCAGTCATTTCATGACACAATTTCACAAAGTCACCCCCAGTTGAGAAGTGATGCAGCCAGAGCCCCCAATTCGTCACCAGCCATGCCCCTGAGGGGTGGCTTACGCCTCTTCCCTTCTTTTCTGGCACCCATGCGACTCCTTGCTGGGCAAGCTGTGGTGGTGCCTGACTATTTTGATAGGTGAGACACAAATCACAAAATACCAATTCCCTCCTCCCCTCAACGTATAGTGTAATAGCTACTTAGAAGGAAGAAGCAGCAGCAGACGGTCACCACAGCAATGCCCTGATAAAATGCCTCCTGGGCGTGGTGAACTGCCATGGGAACAAGGCAACTACGTGAGGCACTCTCCGCTATACCGAGATTTGAGCCTCACGCAGCCCCACATGCTTTGAATTCTGGGGGTTGGTGTTTGGCTACTGCAGAGAGCGAGTTGTGACATTTAAATCCACCCCCAATTTGCCCTTAAATCTGTCAATATCAAGTCAATAAAAACAAACAAACATGCGAAATGGATGTTGTGGCTTTTGGGAACTCTTGGGTGGACTGCACCTCCCGTGTTTGGGCTGACAAGCCGCCCTGGCCAGACATCCAGGGGTGCTGCCCTTGAGAAGATCGGCAATACTGCTAGCTGGCCAGGAGCGTAAAGCCCAGCGGCCAGGGACCATTAAGGAAAATAAAACTAACCCTTGCAAAGGAACGAAACGCCAAAAAGTGTAACAGAGAGGGGGACTTTACTGGGAAGAGAAAAACAGAATGAGCTGCAAACCAGCTTAGCCAGGGGGCAGCTTGTCCTCTGATTATCCCTATTCCTGTATATGGAAACGTGGCTTTGCCTTTGTAATTAGCCGCAGTGATCCAGATCCCATAGAGATTACCCTGAAGTTCACCCAAGTGAATTGCTCCTGTCACTTTATCAGGTACTTTTGCTTGTGTGGTAACATCTCTGGAGTGAAGATAACGAGAACCGCTTGTGCTTCGATGGTGTTTTTCTCACCCAGAGCTCAAAGGTGAGCAGGCCAGCTTGCCTGTCAGTCATTCTGGGGCTCTAACCACTAGCCCACTGTACCTCACGTATTCACAATTGTGCGATTACAGCGCATCCAAGGGGTTCAAAGTGATGTCCACAGAGTAGGGTGACCAGATGTCCCAATTGTATAGGGACAGTCCCAATTTTGGGGTCTTTTTCTTATATAGGTTCCTATTACCCCTACCCCACGTCCCGACTTTTCACACTTGCTGTCTGGTCACCCTACCACAGAGTAGCTTGGAGAGATGCAACATGGCCTAGTGCACAGGGGGCTGGCCTGGCCTGGGCTGCAGAAGTCCTGGGTTCACATCCCAGCTCTGGCAGGTGACAGTGTGTGAGTCACACTATGCTAAACACCTCCTCATAGCAAACCTCTCTGATCTGTACTGGGGCATCCCAGGTCAATGCAAACACAGGCTTGGTAGAGCCCTCAGGTGAGTGGGTTATTTATTGAAAGATTAGAAGGAAGAGGCCTGAGCAAGAAGTTCTATGACTCCTTTATCTCACATGAGATACAGAGCAAAGGAAAAGTGCCCAGGAGGTTGGACTCTATACTCATTGGCCAAGGGTTGATCAGACATCTGACCTTTGAAATGAAGAGCTGGATTGTCTTCTTCCATGGCACTAGGCTGCCCTCCGGGCAAACACAGTGAGCTCTTTGTCTGTTACTAACTCCGAAGGTAATGAGCGCTGATTAAAACTAAAGCCTTGTTAACCACAGCACCCGAGTTGCTCAAAAGCGTTCAGACCTGGGGGCTTTGTTATTAACTCCAGAGGTGTAGCTGCTCTGCTAAGCAGTTGCTTGAAGCTACTGAGAAGAACTTGTTTTGGTTTGGCCTTTCTGTAAGGTATGTTCCCCTGATGTTTTAATGAGTTTTTCTGATGTGATCAAGGCTAGCTGGTGTCTTATGTCTAGAGTTTAGGTGTAAATGTAATTAGCTTTGACAATGCTTTATAAGGCTGTTGTAGGGAGGGGGCCCTTAATCTGTAGTTTATAGGCTAGTACCTGAAGATGGAGGAAATCACTTAATGCGGAAAAATGGGAGGCTGACAAATATTTTTATTATGTTTTTAAAAAGGAGGGAGGGCAATCTAAGCATTGCTCTCAGGTCTGTATCTGCCTTCAAAGGGCTGTAGAAACTACCTCAGGGGATGCAGAAGCCAGTAACCTAAAATGAAAAGAAATAATTTTTACTCTTTCCCTTTACAATTCCCCTTTGAACTGGCATTTGTGAGTTTCACGTGCTCTTCTGGCTTGTGATCCTCACAGCATAACATTGTGCTAGTGTGTAACTGACTAGTCTGGTTTCCCTGTCCCAGTTGAGTGGAAGGTAACAGTAATCAGACAGTGCTAGGTATAAGGTAGTTTCCTTCCCCACCCCAGTTAAAGGGCTACTAGAATAACTTATTGATACATTAGAGCTGGCTAAGAGAAAAGCCCCAGGAGTGACTCAAGGATGGGAAAACCTGCCTCACACAGAGAGACTCCAGGAGCTAGATCTGTTTAGTTTAATTAAGTGAATGCTAAGGTGTGACTTGATCGGTTCCCAAGTACTTACATAAGGAACAGAAATTTAATAGTAGAGGGCTCTTCAGTCTAGCAGAGGAAGATCTAACACAATCCAGTGACTGGGGAAGTTGAAGAAGATAAATTCAGACTGGAAATAAAGTGTCAATTTACAACAGGGAGGGTAACTAACCATTGCAACAACTTACCAAAGGTCATGGTGGAGTCTCCATCACTGGCACCTTCTAAACCCAGACCGGCTGTTTTTCTGAATGATTTGTTCTTGTTCGAGCAGGAATTAATTCAGGGCAGGTCTCTGGTCTGTGCTATACAGCAGGTCAGACTAGGGGATCACGACGACCGGATGATTTATAAATTCTACTTCTCCCCCTGTGTCCGCTTGAGGGATTCCAGACTCGTGCTATGGTTGCCTGCATTCAGAGAGCACTGAGATGAGTTCAGGAGTGTCCCCATCTGTGAAAGGGGTAATGTCACAGGAAGAGGTGATAGGGCCTGGTGTTGGTGCCTGATTGATTTCTCTCCCAACCCAAAGGCCGGGGGGGTGTTGGAGTTGAAGGTGCCGGGTTATAGGCAGGACTGTGAATTTGTATATGGTAACAGTCTGCAGTATGTGGCGGGGTGGCGGGGGGGGGGGGGGTCTGTGCAAACGGGGGAGGGATAGCTCAATGGTTTGAGCATTGGCCTGCTAAACCCAGCATTGTGAGTTCAATCCTTGAGGGGGGCCACTTAGGGATCTGGGGCAAAAATCTGTCTGGGGATTGGTCCTGCTTTCAGCAGGGGGTTGGACTAGATGACCTCCTGAGGTCCCTTCCAACCCTGATAGTCTATGAAAGACCTGCCTGTGGGAGAGCTGATGGTCAGTGTCAATGCTTAACCCTTTCCCCATTGCACAGCTGTGGGGCGAGCCTCGCCCTTACCTCACAGAGGCCTGTACAGCTGGCCATGCTAATGCTCAGAAAGAGATCTGACTGGATCTGAGACTGGTTAACAGCAGCTGGCCAGGAATCCACTGGCTCAAACCCAGTAGTGCTCAGCCACATGAATCTCTGGGCAAGGGTCGGATTGTGCAACCAGAAGCAAGTGTCTGGTGCTGTAATGCAGAGGGAAGAGAAGGGATGCACCCACGGGTGGGTGTTGGGTGGAGAGGAGCTCACAGCGAGGGTGGAAACCAGCAACCCTTGAGGCAAGACTGTGGGCGCTCAGCTCAGAGCATCGAGTGAGACTTTCAAGACAAAGGAGAAGTCAAAAAGGTGGGGGCATCACTTGTCTCATTGAGATGCCTAGGATATAAAAGCCGCCAGAAGGTGGCTTTGTGGTCACTCTCTCTTGGGTTTTCATAGCACACCAGGCTGTAGCACAGGGGTGGGGAACCTCAGGGCCACCGACCCACAGAAAAAAATCAATCACAGGCCACACACAGCCCCGCAGGGGGCACGGAGGTTCGGGGCTTCCCCTAGGCTCTGGGGTAGGGCCAGAAATGAGGGGTTCAGGGTGCGGGAGGGGGCTCCAGGTTATGCGGGGGGTTGGGGTGTGGGAGGGGGTAAGGGCTCTGGGTGGGGCTGGGGATGAGGGGTTTGGGGTGCAGCAGGAGGGGGCTCAGGGCTGGGGCCAAGGGGTTTGGAGTGCGGGAGTGGGCTCAGGGCTGGGGCAGGGGGTTGGGGTGCATGAGGGAGTTTGAGGTGTGGGCACCGGAAAGGAGTTTGGGTGTGGGAGGGGGCTCAGGGCTGGGGCAGGGGTGCAGGTGGGGGTGCAGGGTCTGGGAGGCAGTTAGGGTGTGGGAGGGGGTTGCGACCTGGGGAAGGAAGTGTTGGTCGTCTTGGAAGTAGCGCGGAGCTGATTGGACTTTTAACGGCATGGCAACCCCAGCTCCCCTCCCGCAGCAGGGCGAGCCGGCCACTCACGGCGTGGAGAGTTGCCATAGCTTCCCACCCCTGCTACAGCACCTTAACACTGATGCTTTTATGTGGGGAACTGTCGGCATAGCGTGCGCTCAATGAGGGGAGCAAAGTCACACCTGGGCATCTGCTCTAACGTGTCTTCTCTTCCACCCCCCTCACTCTGGTCCCAGGGAGATGGCAGCGCGGTGGGCCGTGCTGGGGCTGTTGGCTGCCTGCATGACCAGTGCTGCGAAGAAATCTGTGCTGAACATGTGCATGGACGCCAAGCACCACAAAACCGAGCCAGGCCCGGAGGGGGCGCTGCATGACCAGGTAAGGAAGTGCTGGCCTGGTGACACGTGAGGCTGATGCCACACCACTTAGGGCGCTGGGTGACGAATAACTGAGTCACCTGGGCCTGTCGTCCCTTCCAGTGCAGGCTTGTTCCTTTCCACTAGAGACGGGTGCCTCGACAGAGGGCGCCTGGGGGAGCCAAATGTGCTAGAGGGAAGGTATTTGCGATGCACCAAGACTGTTTTCATGGGGCCTGGCTCTGTGGCCCTTTCCCATAGGGCCAGCCTCGGGAGGCAACTCCTGGATGGGCTGCAGGATCCGTCACTCACTGACACTGTCCTATCGGGCGTGCCTCCCCCCCGCTCCCCCGAACCTTGCAGCGTTGTACCCGGCAAAACCAGCCTCCGCAGAGCAGGCAAGAGAGGGCCACTTTGTCCTTCTGAAACGAAGCCTCCCACTCTCCCCCCCGTTGATCCCGCAGAGTGATCCACCCGTCTCAGTCCCCGTTGCCTAGGCGTGGCCCCTCCGTTCGCTAATCTTGTGAAGTGCTTTGAGAGCCTCAAAGAGAAGGGCAAAATGCTATCCCCACCGCCAGGCCTTGGGCCTGGCCTCGGCAGGAGCAGTCCAGCCGTGCATCACTAGAGGCCAGTGATGCAGTTGCATCCACCGCATCCTGTCTGCCCCCTGGGCGAGCTGCCGGAGTCCCCTGCGTACCCGTCTCTCGCTGTGTTCACAGTGTGTCCTGTGGAAAGACAACGCCTGCTGCACGGCCAACACCAGCATGGAGGCTCACCAGGACCAGTCCTACCTGTACAACTTCAACTGGAACCACTGCGGGGTGATGCCAGACAAGTGCAAGCAGCACTTCATCCAGGACACGTGTCTGTACGAGTGCTCACCCAACCTGGGGCCCTGGATCGACCAGGTCAGGGGGTGTGACGGTGCTGCCCGTGGGGGCCTGCTGTGGTCACTCAATCAGGGTGAACTGCAAACAAAACAGGGCAAACAAACCCCAAAAGCTGGTGGATTTAGATTCAATACTTAGATTTAGCAAGCCAGCACAAAACAGCTTCTGTAGTACCTCACTGGTTACTCGGAAGTCCAAATAACGCAGTTCCCTTAAAGTACCCAGCCTCAGGCCTCCGTCCAGACACACCTGTCAGATATGATGATGATTACTGAAAATCTTATCTCATCACATAAAAGAAAAGGTTCTTCCAATCCCAAAGGATCAGCCACATACCCAGGTTCAATTATAACTCAGATCTTACCCAAAATACACGCTATAGCCAATTCTTATTAACGAAGCTAAAATTTATTAAAAAAGAAAAGAGAGCGAGTGTTGGTTAAAAGATCAATATACAGACAGACTTGAATTCAATTCTTGAGGTTCAGATACATAGCAGAGGTGAACTTGTAGTTGCCAAAAGTCCTTTTAGAAATAGTCCATGGGTTATAGTCCAATGGTCCATATTCAGGGTGGCTCCAGTCAATGACTGGGGATCTCAATCCTTGTGGCTTAAGGTTTCCCCCTCTTGAAACCCAAAGCAGATCTGAGATGAAGTAGGATCATGTCCCAGGGTTTTTATACATTTCCAGCAGCCTTTCGGCCTGAGAAAACAATAGGCTTAACTCTCCTTCTTCCAAACATCCTGGCAATTAGCACAGAGTAATTTATCCATTAAACAGTTCAGATACAGGTTACCACAACCTTCAAAGAGACATAGAGACAATAATACTATTTCACTCAAGTGTCTTCCTAAATGTTAACATTCCTTTTTTGATCTTTGAATTAAAGTTATAGCAATAGACAAGACTTGTCTGCTTACATCACAAGACCTGAGCAAACATCTACCCTTCTATCTCTAACAATGCAGACTTAGGCTGGGTCTACACTACCCGCCTGAATTGGCGGGTAGAAATCGACCTCTTGGGGATCGAATCGACGCTCTTACTCCACCAGCGGAGGTGGGAGTAAGCGCTGTCGACGGGAAGCCGCAGAGGTTGATTTTGCCGCCGTCCCTACAGCGGGGTAAGTCGGCTGGGGTACGTGGAATTCAGCTACGCTATTCGCGTAGCTGAATTTGCGTATCTTAAATCGACCCCCCCCGTAGTGTAGATGTAGCCTCACATTTCAAAGCTCTATTCATTTATATATCTTCCTAACCAGTCCTTAAGGTTCACCCATGGGTCAGGTCAGCCGGTGAGTTAATTAACTCTTTCTGGCCCTGTCATCTTTCACTGAGATATTATATTATACTCCTAACGTCACTGGGGGTGTTCGGGCTGGGCGCTGCGGATGGGAGAGAAGGCTGGCTTGGTGCGTGTGCTCACGGCTCCCTCTAGTGGCAGGTCCCCCGTGAATAACAGCTGGCTGCAAAGAGTTGCTGCTCCTTCAGCTCAAGCAGCGGAGGTGTGCACTTGCAGTGCTGAAAGTCCCAGGTTCAATTCCCCAACAATTAGTGACCCTGAATCCATATGGGGCGGGGGCCCATTGCATGCGGGTAGGACAATCTCCTCCAAAGGTTCCTGGGGGCAGGTGGCTCCAATGAAGAAAACCTCCCTTGTGTTTTATGTACCTCTCAAATCCCATCAGCATGGTTGGGACCCAGCACTCCAACAGGCTGCCTCTGTCCCGGTGTGACGGGGCTCGTACTGGGTGCATACGGGGGAGGTTGCATTGACTTGGCTTCTTCCAAACCCCTGGCTGGGAGCAGAGGAGCTCTCCTGGACACCGAGCTCGGGTGGTTTGCATGGGACACCCGTTGGGCTGTGGTTGCTGCCGCTCAGGTGTGCGGGGAGGCTACTGTGAGGCTCTCCCTTCCCCTGGGGACTGGGCCTAGTTCTGCTGGGACTCACACTGGCTCCGTTCTTGTGCAACGCCATTCCTTGGAGCTAGATCCCGGGGTGGAGAAGAGCATGTAGGTAACCCCTGCTCCCTGGGGCGGCTTGGGGGTGACTGTGGCCCAGAGCTGCCCCCTGATGCTCACAGCCCCGTGTCCTCGCAGGCGGATACCAGCTGGCGCCGAGAGAGGATCCTCAACGTGCCGCTGTGCAAGGAGGACTGTGAGCTGTGGTGGGAGGACTGCAAGGACGCCATTACCTGCAAAGAGAACTGGCACAAGGGCTGGAACTGGACCTCAGGTCAGTGAGCCGCTGAGAGAAAACCTACCGCACTCCGTGCACCTAGGGTTGCCAGGCATCCGGTTTTTGTCCGGTTGAAAAGGGCCCTGGCGGCTCCAGGAAGCAGCTGCCAGGTCCCTGTGGCCCCTAGGCAGGTGCCCACGCCCACACCTGAGTACTGGCTCCACAGCTCCCATTGGCCGGGAACTGCGACCAATTGGAGCTGTGGGGGTGGCACCTGCAGGCGTGAGAGCAGCGCATGGAGCCTCCCTGGCTGCCCATGAGCCTAGGGGCTGCAGGGACCTGGTGGCCACTTCCTAGGAGCTGCGGTAAGTGCCACCGGGAGCCCGTACCCCTCCCACACCCCAACCCCCACCCCAGCCCTGAGCCTCCCCCTGCACGCCTCATCCCCAGCCTCACCCCAGAGCCTGCACCCCCAGCCGGAGCCCTCACCCCCCTCCCATACCCCAAACCCTGCCCCAGCTTGGTGAAAGTGAGTGAGGAAGGGGGAGGGCGAGTGACAGAGGGAGGGGGGGATGGAGCGAACAGGGGGTGGGGCATTGGAGAAGGGGTGGGCCAGGGGGCAAGGCAGGGATGTTCAGTCTTGCTGTGCGATTAGAAAGTTGGACACCCTAAGTGGAAGAGGGGCTCATATTTCTCCCTTCCCTTGATGACAGCAGCCCCCTGACTGGCTACAGACTGAGGGCTGGGATCCGGAGAGCAGTACTGGGGGCTGTTGTCTCATCGGGTCTCTGTGCTAGCCCCAGTGGGGCTCGGATGATGGAGGGGAGCGGGTGGGAACCCGGCACCCGTTGCGTGGATAAAAAGCCAGCTAACTGGCAGGTCTCGCAATGGAACTGTCCATGGGGAATCATCGCTGAGCGGGCGTGTTCCCAGTGGGGTTCCCAGGGACTGGTTCTTGGCCCTACGCTACTAAACGTTTTTATTAAGGCCCCGAAGATATGAAATTGTCCCGGATAAAGTTTGCAGATGACTGAAAAATTGGGGGTGTGGTAAATACCGAAGAGGACACGTCCCTGATACAGAGCGATTAAGCTGGGCCCAAGCGATCGATGTGTGTTTTAATACAGCAAAAGTACACCCCTAGGCCCAAAGAATGAGGCCGAATTCACCCGGGGGGGACCCTGGGAAGCAGTGACCAGGAAAAAGATTGGGAACGGCGTGGGGGGAGGCGGATAGACAGACAAAAGGACTAATGGGATCTTGGGACACTTAAACAGGGGAATCTCGGGTAGGAGCGGAGAGGTGATTTCACCTCTGTGTTTGGCACTGGTGCGAATGCTGCTGTAATCCTGGGTCCAGCTCACAATTCCAGGAGGAAGTTGATTGAAAAGGGTTCCAAGAAGAGCCATGAGATTGACGAATGGATTAGAAAACCTGCCTTGTAGGGATAGATTCAAGGAGCTCCATCTATTTAGCTCAACAGAGAGACGGTTGGGGGTAACTTGATTCCAGTCTTGAAGCATCTACGTGGGGAACAGATATTTAGTAACACTAGGGTTACCATTCGTCCGGATTCCCCCGGACATGTCCGGCTTTTTGAGTTAAAAATAGCGTCCGGGGGGAATTTGTAAATGTCCGGACTTCCCCCTCCCCATGCAGAGCGTGAGGCTGACAGGGCAGCCGGCCGGATGGTGCCACTTACATGGGACTCTGACAGCCAGAGAGAGCTCCTCCTCCACTTCCCCCTCCTCTCCCCTGCAGCTGAGAGCAGTCCCTCCCTCCCTCCCTCTCTGCATTCGCAGATCGCCGGCCGTTCGCATCGGGCCTCCGGCAGTCTGGAGCTCCTCCCCTGCTCCTCCTCCCCTGCTGCTCAGCTGGTCTGAGCGGCAAGGTAAGGGGGCCAGGGGTCGGAGAAGGGGCAGGGAGGTTCTGCAGGGGGCAGTCAAGAGACAGGGAGGCGGGGGGGGGTGTGTCGGGAGTTCGTGGGGGGGCTTTCGTGGGGGGGTGGATAAGGTTTTGGGCAGTCAGGGTACGGGTAGGGTCTCAGGAGGGGGCAGTTAGGGGACAAGGAACAGGGAGGCTTAGGTAGGGGGTGGGGTTCTGGAGGGCAGTTAGGAGCAGGGGTCCCAGGAGGGGTAGTCAGGGGACAAGGAGTGGGGGGGGGTGTCAGGGGCAGGGGTGGGGAGAGGGATCAGAGTAGTCAGGGAATATGGAGCAGAGGGGTTTAGATGGGTCAGGAGTTCTGGGGGGGGCTGTCAGGGAGTGGGGAGTGGTTGGATGGGGCGTGGGAGTCCCGGGGGTCTGTCTGGGGATGGGGGTGTAGATAAGGGTTGGGGCAGTCAGGGGACAGGTAGGGGGTAGGGTCCTAGGGGGCCAGTTAGGATGGGGGGAGGATCTCTGGAGGGGGCAGTCAGGGGACAAGGAGCAGGGGGAGGGTTGGGGGTTCTGAGGGGGGTGGGAAGTGGGAGGGAGTGGAAGGGGCAGGGTGGGGCTAGGGCAGGACAGGGCGGGGCTAGGGCAGGGCTCCTCCCGTCCTCTTTTTTGCTTGCTGAAATATGGTAACCCTAAGTAACAGGCTTGTCTGTCTAGCAGAGAAAGGTCTAACACAGTCCAATGGCTGGAAGTTGAAGCTAGCACATTCAGGCTGGAAATAAGGTGACATTGTTAATGGTGAGAGTAATTAACCACTGGAACAATTTACTGAGGGACATGATGGAGTCTCCAAACTCCAATCAAACTTGGCTGTTTGTTTGTTCTGAAAGCTCCGCCCTAGGGATTATTTGGGGGCAGGTCTCTGGCCTGTCTTGCTATGCAGGAGGTCAGACTCATTGATCACAGTGGTTGCGTCTGGTCTTGGAGTCAATGAATGTTGTGTTAGCAGAACTCCCTTAGGAGAAGGATCAAGGTGCACTGGTGCAGCTCTGGGAGGAAGCCAGCCCCAGCACTTCTAAGTGTCTCATTCTTACTAGCACTAAACCGTCCATCTTTCTTGCTCAGACAAAAGCAAGTCCCTCCAGCCCAGAGGGGTGAGAGCCCAGGCAGCCCCTCTAGGATAAATCCAGGAGGTGAGTGACGTGGCTACAAGCCCGTGAACTTCACCTCACAGGGAAGGACTGTTTCTCCCACAAGCCAGCTGGGCCGTTGCCAGCTCAGCCAGTAGCCTGGGACCCCAGAGACGGGGAAGACTGGCTAGATGGAGTCCAGCCACAGCTTGCTCACTGCTGCCCTCTCTCCCCCTCTCCAGGGACCAACCGGTGCCCCCGCGGCTCCATATGCCAGCCATTCAAGTATGTCTTCCCCCGGCCGGCGGACCTGTGTGAGAAGATCTGGTCCAACTCGTACAAATACACCACGGAGCACCGGGGCGGCGGGCGCTGCATCCAGATGTGGTTCGACCCTGCCAACGGGAACCCCAACGTGGCCGTGGCCAAGTACTACGCCCAGAACGGGAGAGACGCCTCTCCTGCGCCGCGGGCTGTCCTGCTGCTGCTGCCGGCTGCTCTCCTGTCCCTGCTCTGAGCATCTGGAAGCTGCTAGTCCTCGGGTCTTGAAATAGCAGGGCTTGGTGGCCGGCTGAAAGCGCCCTAGGTATGGCCTCTGACTCTGGCAGCTCCACTGGCTTATACAGGAAATATTTCTTCTCTAGGCACGGGGTTTGTTCACCCTGTAGCCCTGCCTTGGGCTCTGGCCAGCCGATGATTCAGAAATCCATCCGGCTGCTTCTAACCCGGACAAGACTCAATAGAACCAGATTATCCCCATCCTCTCCTGCCCTTGAACGTCCCTCACTCCATGGTTTTATTGTCTCAGTGTTCTCCTGCCACGCTCCTCTCTTCCAGTGGGCTCTGGGGGGAGATCCCTCTATGCACCGTGTCCCTGGGGATCTGAGCTCTGTAACATGCAGTGACTCACTGGCTGGGTGCACTTCCTCTGTTGGGTACCAGAGCCGGGCAGGTCTTCTCTAACGATGGTGCCCGCAGTCATCTGGGTGCCTGTGCCCCTCAGCCCTCCATCGACAGGATTGGCCACTGTCTTTGCATTTGAATGTGCAGAGGGGGAGAAACCCCAAAGGGAAGACAGCAAATATTTGGGGCTGGGCAGGGGAGAGGAGGGTGCAGGGGAAAGGCATTGGGACGCCTTGGGGGATGAGAATTGCAAGGAGAACAAGGCTTTTGGACCCTCTCATCCAGCCTTGTTCTGTCTCCTTCCCTGCCACCCTGCGCCCCCTGGAAATACAGGTGTCTCCTCCCCTGGCTCGCAGCCTGCCCTGGTGTCTCCGCTTCAGCCCATGAGACCATCCTCTCTGTGGCTTTGGTGTGTGTGTGGGGGGGGTGACTTGAGTATTGGGGGAGGGGCCCCATATGAGCACAGAGGCATCACCACCCCTACCCTTGCCTACCTTGCTGCTGGTTCTGCTGTGTGATTGGGTCTCTCCCTCCTCCTGTGCCGCTGCTCCAATTCCTCTTCTGTCCGAGCTTCCCCATCCTGAGCCGAGCTCCCGCAGGGGGCTCGGTTCCCGGCCCTGCTCTGGCAGAAGACTAACTGGCAGTGCTGCCCAGCGTGGCCGCAGGCAGTGCCTGGCCGAGCCAGAGTCTCTGCGCCCCGTGGTGACTGATTGGGCTCTGACCCGCTCTGGGCCATTGCATGGTAGCTGCGTTGCTATGGCAGCGCTGGCTGCAGCCACCAAGAGTTCCTACAGCCCCTAGAACCGGAGCAATGCTTGGGAACGCAGTCCTGCCTCCTGCTGGTCACCACGGGCCAGCCAGACTGCCCGGGGACCACCATGGGGCGTTGCTGGAAATCTGAACCCCTCTAGCTTGGGTCTGTGACTCTGGAGAAATAAACTCTCCCAGCCCTGCTCTCTGTGCTCGTCTCTTCCTTGATACACAGACAGACACTTGCTGCCGCTTGCTTCCCAGTGGTGCAGACACAGCTGGGCCCAGCCGGAGGTACCAGCTGGCTTGGAGTTAGGCCCCTCTGTCTAAACTGAGCGAGAGTGGGCTGCTGGGCCAGTGCGGACTTGGGTCAAACACTGCCCATAACTACTGTTAGCAGGGACCACGTGTATGACTAACAGTCCAGGGGTCCTCTGGAAACCAGCCTCTCTGTGCTTTGGCTTTAGATGAGTGTCTGGTTAATGCCGACTCCTGCAGGATTCTCTCCCGTCTAGGGGCCCTGCTCCCCTATGCACCCACAACTGTCCTGGAACATGCCTGCACAATGCTAAACCCATAAACTAGGTGTTGTTTTTTTTAAGCCAAGGGCAAGTAACACTGAGTCAATGTAAACACAAACGGAGCTGGGTAAAGGAAGCACCTGCCTTCTCCGGTGACACGTTCTCATTCAGTGGTCCCCAATCTTTTTTGGCTGGCGGGCGCCCGACGACGAGCCACAGAGGACCGTGGCGGCGGACAAACATCCGCCAAAATGCCGCCAACAAGCGGCAACGTCAACAGGCATCACCGCCGAAATGCTGCCGACAAGCAGCGTCATCCAGAGGCCTCGCTGCCGAAAATCGGCGGCATTTCAGCTGCGACACATCTGGATGACGCTGCTTCTCGGCGGCATTTCGGCGGATGCTCATCCGCCGGCCAGTACGCAGGCGCACTTAGACACCCCGGCGGGCGCCATGGTGCCCAGAGGCACCGCGTTGGGGACCCCTGTTCTAATCCCATGGAATAAAGTAAGTCATAGATTCAAATCCGTAAGGGTAGCGTGTGATCATCCAGGCTCACCTCCTGTACAGCCCAGGCCAGAGACCTGCTCCCCAGTAATCCCCAAAGAAGATATTTTAGAAGAACAGCCACTCTGGATTTTAAAATTGCCAGTGACGGAGAATCCACCACACCCCTTGGGAAATTAATCCAATGGTTAAATACTCTCCCCCTTTAAAACCGTGGAGCTTCTCTCCAGTCAGGCCTTGTCTGCTGGGACGGGCACTGCCCCCCACAGCTGTGGCACAGTAGCTCCTGGGTGCATACTCCATTCCAGAATCACTACTCCGCTCCCCAAGTGGAGTCATTATTCTGGAGTGAAGTCGCTGTATGTCAGTGTAGTGCCAACCAAGGGAGTTGTTCGGGAATAGGCGTGTGAGTCAGCTTTCCCCCCATACTCAGGAGCTGTGCCTCGTGCAGTTCTGAGCTTGAGCTAAACAGTCTTGGGCTGAGCTGGGCCGGGCCGGGCCGCAGTCCTGTGTGCCGAGCTGGCTGGAGGACAGCAATCCAGTTTTGCAACAACCTCCAAGCTTCTGCACGGAGACCGCCTGGCAACGAAACCAAAACCCGGGAACCGTCGGGGTGAAATGGCGTTGTACCCAAATGGCTCTTGTCTGATCAAGCAGCTGAGGGGGTCTCTCGGGACAGATGGTGCAAACTCTGTCAAAACAGAACCACCAGCAAACCGCCTTGGGTTTGACAGAACTGCCCAGTATGATGTCATTCCACGTTGGCAAAGGTCCCAACCAGCTCTCCCTGCATCCGGGGCTGTCTAGCCGTAGTGGGGGTTACCTGTGTTTAAAGAGGTGGGGGCCAGTCCGATGTGGACTACATCGCTTTTAGGAGCTACTGCTCTCTGGCCTTCGCTAATCTGGAAGGAGACGTTCAGAAAGACAAGGTGCAGCTGAACGGGGAATGACCAATGGCTGGGGACAAAGAACGCTGTTCCTTCTGCTAGAATTACAGCGATGCTACGCTGAGCACTGGCTGATGGGACCGGGGAAGGCAGAGAAAGAACTTAGCTGAAGCGTGATGGGAAGGGGAAGTGCTGGCAAGGTCTGTGTGAGCTCCCAGCCACCGTCTGGCAGCATGCACAGCGAGGATAGTGTCTACAGCTGGTACAGCCCCGGTTGTACGGTCTCCAGGCTGCTGTATTGGACCCCATGTGCTTCCAAGCCAATGGGCTCCTCCTGGTGTCCAGACACTATCTCTAGTTCTGGCCTCTTGGGCACATTCCTGGGGTCCAGACTCCCTAGCTAGTCTCCCCTTCTTAGGATGTCAAACCCCGTGATCCCGATGCCCTAAGAGACATGCTGCAGCTCCCCGATAGCTTGGGCCCGTGCCCCCAGAGCTCTACCCATGCTGGCACTCTGGTGTGCAGTCAGACTCTTTGGGGACTGCGTGACAATTGCAGCAGGGAGCCGGGGGTTGTGGTACCAACGACATGGGGGAAGGTAGGAGAGAGGTCCTGGAGGACAAATTTAGGCCACTAGGTCAGAGATGAAAGTCCAAGATCTCCATGGGAGCATTCTCTGAAATGCTTCCAGTTCCACGCACAGGGCCAGCGAGGCAGAGCTGCAGGGTCTCAATGTGTGGCTGAGGATAGCGTAGGGAGGAAGGATCTAGGTTTGTTAGGAAGCGGGGAACCTTTGGGGAAAGGAGGAGCCTACACAGGAAGGATGGGCTCCACCCAGACCAAAATGGGACCAGATTGCTGGCATGAAAAATCAAAAAGGCCGTAGAGTTTTTAAAGAAAGGAGTGGGGAAAGCCAAGAGGTATGGAAGAGAACATGGTGTGGACAGAGATGTCCCTTCGGGGAGGATCTATTGAAGGGGACTCTATCTAGTAGGGAGGAGAGGATAGAAGCTGATAAAGTACAGGTAGGAACTGAAGAGAAACAGTCAAAGGAAAAAGAGTCCCAGTCAGTTACATCCCATACGGGCAGTCAGCTAAAAGGGGACCGGTTTTTGAGTGCAGGCATACAGATGCTAGCAGTGTCAATACTCGGACGGGAGAAGGCGAGTGCCTGGTTTTAAATGAGGATATAACAGGAGTCAGGCAGGCTGGAGAGGCTCACGACTGTGGCTGCCAACCTCTGGGCAGATTGTGACAAACCGGGGCACAGACCCCCAAGTGGCTGTGAGTTCTGTACTTAGAGATTTCACCAACCAAACAGCAAGCGTGAAATCCTCATGTACGAGAACAGCCTTCACATGGAGTCCCCCTGGGCACTCCGGTCTGTCTTGCAGACCTCAATAGCACAGCTTTGCCAGTATAAGCCGCGTCCACACTAGGGGTACGTCTACGCTGCCGTCAGGAGGTGTGACTGCGTGTACACATACCCGAGCTAGCGTGGATCTAGCTTAGCGTGTGCCCAGGCCACTCAAGCAGGGCGGGCAGGGCTAGCTCAGGCTACGGCAGCGTCACTGCCAGCGTTACTGCTGTGCTGGGAGCTAGCTAGATCAAAGCTGGCTGGGGGGAGTCTCCACGTGCTGCAGTCACGTCTCTGAGTGCCGGACAGCCCCACCCTAGCAGTGCAGCGGGCCAGCCCGCCCGCACCAGCAATGCACGCCCACGCATGGCTTGAAGCGCAGGGTGCGCTGCCCCAGCCTCTGCCGGGCGCTGACCGAGGGCTGAGTGCAGGTCTCCTGCCCGGCCGTGCAGGGCACCACCCTGGCCTACTGGAGACAGTGTCCGTGGGGAGCTGGGTGGCAAAGGGATGTAAGGCCGCCTAAGAGCCCTGACTTGCAGCATGTAAATGAAGGCCTGGGAGAAAGAGGAAGGCAGAATTTCACAAGCCGCAGCTGCAGGGAGCACTCGAGCGAATCCCCGCTCGGCCGGGGGAGCTGCACAGAGGAAGTTAGACTCCAGCTCCAGCCTAAGACCGAGCTAGGCAGCTGCAGCACTGCCGATCTCCTCGCGGGAAAAGGAAGTGGGGTCACTGCGACTTCCTCCGGGCTTTCTGCCTCTGTGACGTTATGAGTGTGATATAATAGTTCATTGGAAGGTGACAGGGCCAGAAAGAGTTAATTAACTCACCGACTGACCTGACCCATCGCTGAACTTTAAAGACTGGTTAGGAAGATATGTAAATGAATAGAGCTTTGAAATACAAGTCTGCGTTGTTAGAGGTAGAAGGGGAGATGTTTGCTCAGGGCTTGTGATGTCAGCAGACAAGTCTTGTCTATTGCTATAGCTTTGATTTAAAGATCAAAAAAGGAATATTAATATTTAGGAAGACACTTGAGTGAAATAGTATTATTGTCTCTATGTCTCTTTGAAGGTTGTGGTAACCTGTATCTGAACTGTTTAATGGATAAATTATCCTGTGCTAATTGCCAGAATGTTTGGGAGAAGGAGAATTAAGTCTACTGTTTTCTCAGGCCAAAAGGCTGCTGGAAATGTATAAAAACCCTGGGACACAATCCTGCTTCATCTCAGATCTGCTTTGGGTTTCAAGAGGGGCCATTTTTAAGCCATAAGGATTGAGATCCCCAGTCACTGACTGGAGTCACCCTGAATATGGACCTTGGACTATAACCTATGGACTATTTCTAAAAGGACTTTTGGCAACTACAAGATCACCTCTGCTATGAATCTGAACCTCAAGAATTGAATTCAAGTCTGTCTGTATATTGATCTTTTAACCAACACTCTCTCTCTTTTCTTTTTTTAATAAACTTTAGCTTAGTTAATAAGAATTGGCTATAAGCGTGTATTTTGGGTAAGATCTAAGTTATAATTGGACCTGGGTATGTGGCTGATCCTTTGGGATTGGAAGAACCTTTTCTTTTATGTGATGAGATAAGATTTTCAGTAATCATCATCATATCTGACAGGTTTATCTGGACGGAGGCCTGAGGCTGGGCACTTTAAGGGAACTGCGTTGTTTGGACTTCTGAGTAACCAGTGAGGTAACATAGAAGTTGTTTTGGGCTGGCTTGGTAAATCTAAGTATTGGAATAACCACCAGCGTTTGGGGTTTGTCTGCCCCGTTTTGTTTGCAGTTCACCCTGATTGAGTGACCTCAGCTGGCTCCCAGGGACAGCACCGTCACAGCCTCCCTGGGGCCAAGCGGGGCAGGGGCCTGGTGGGCGTGAGCCATGACTTGACGAACACGCTCGAGAGCGTGTGGTCTCCACTCTGCAGTTAGGCGACAGCGGTAGGGTGGTTGGGAGTGTGAAAAAACCACCACCCCCAGTCGATGGAGCTCTGCCGACCTCACTCCCGGGCGAGGTCCAGCTGGGGGAACAGAGGAACACTCCGTCGAGGTTCCTACAGTGTTGGGAAAACCCGTCTGTGGTAGTGGGCTGCGGCTCTGGTACGGGGTTCTCCCGGCACAGATACGGCGATCTCGCTACGCCCCGTACTGCAGACATGCCCTACGTTTGTCACATGACCACACTTCTCTTCCTCAGCCCAATTTGTGATCTTGTCAAACAACAACGTCGGGCTGTTCGACGAAGCCGGCTTGCCATAAAAGCTCGTGTCCTGGTGTTAGTGACGCTCCTGGGGCAGCCTGGTGAAGCACCGTCAGCTCTGAGAGGAGCAACACACAGAAACGGGGGGCTGGGGAGCGTGATTGAGGGGAGCTCAGAAGTGCTAACCAGTGACCCGCGGGCACCGAGGAAGGCTGAAGAGCCCTGGCCTGACGTTCTGGATCTCGCCGTCTTCGTCAGCTGCCCCACGTCAGGTCGCAGGACAAGATCAGAAATGAGGCGATTCGAAGCAAACTCCGCAACCACCTCTATCGGCACTGGGGGGGTTTCGGCAGCTCTCGTGAGATGGACACCGTGAGGCTGGAAGACCAGCGGATCCCGAGGTGTGTTTGCCAAGGCCACTAGGTGGCTGGCGCACATGTGCTCGCCAAATGCTTTGGTGGAATGACCAGATTGCCAGTGATGGACATAAACTGCCCAGCCAGCCCGATCAGCTTTCAGACCCAGCCAGAGATTGATCCAGGATCGCTCTGCAAGGAGCCCCCGCACCTTCGGGGTTTGCCACGATGATGGTGAAACCAGCCACAGATGCCTCGCTTGGCTGTGACATGGCAAAGGCAGTGGTTTCACTCGGTGGCCCGCAGGGGACCCCTGGGGCCTGCAGCCTATGGCTAAGATTTTCAAAGGGATCCACACCCCCATATGAAATGTTGCAGGGGTCCACAATGAAAAAAGGTTAATAACGGCTGGGCAAAGGGACAGGAGAACCCAGCCCATGGGACATACCCAGGAAGAGGAGGAATTAGTTAGGGAGGCACAGCAGGGGGGTGATGAGGATGGAGTGAAGACGTGGAACAGGGACTTGGACGAGCCGGGGAACCTTCCTGACAGGCAGCTGTGGCATGGTGTCTCCAGGACGGGGCGGAGGCCCCATTGCTTGGGCCACGGACTGGTGACAGCCCTGGCCAGTTACAACAGGGACCTTGGCTGTCTGCAGGGGGTGTGGCCGGTGACACCCACTGCTGCTCACTGCAGACGTCGTGCTGTGCTGATGGGGCGGCATGTCCCAGGTTAGCAGCAGAGGCTCACTGATGCAGCCGGCTCCGCGGAGTGGACGGATCTTTGTTCCCCGCTGCACAGGGCACCCCTGACCCATCCCCTCCTCCTGGTGCCCGGGGCCTCCGCTCACCGTCCCGCAGCTGGCTGGAGAATTAGCTGAGCGAGCAAAGCTATAGTAGCCTCGGAAGGAAGCGAGCCAGAGCCGGCTCCAGGGACACCCATCACCTGCCCATCCCCACCTGGCCCCAGTCGCTGGGGAAGCCAGTCAGCTCCGGTAGCTGGAGCTGAGTCCCCATGAAAGTTGCACGGGGCAGGGAGAGGGGAGGTTGATTTGAACAATATGCCAAGGCCCCTGGGGTGAATGAGGCCAGCCAGGGCAGGGGCAGGATGCCAGGCCCAGAGAGGTGGGGTGAGGGCAGTGCAACATACAGGGAGAGCCTGGCATGTGGCTTGTGCTGCGCAGAGGGGGCAGGAGCCAACCTCGGCCTCGCTAGTGGAGCGAGAGAGGCCCACTGTGACCAGCTCGTCTGACCCTGTCTAATGCCGGCCAGAGCATGTCCTGGAGTAATTCCTGTCTGAGCGACAGCCGAGCTTGTAGGAAACCAGCACCTTGGTCTTTAAAACAGTACCAGGGATGGGGAATCCACCATGCTCCATGGAAAGTGATTCCACTGGTTAATTATTCTCACCGCTAAACACTGACATTTTAATTCCAGTCCAATTTTGTCCAGCAGCGGGAACACCCAGGACTCACCTTTGAGCCTGACTACAGGCAGAGCAGAGACCCACACCGGCAGGGGGAGAGCGGTGGGGGCAGGAGAGGATGCCAGCGCTACACACTTGCATTCCCGTGTCTGTTTTCTCAGAGATCTGTAACTCTTGTACTTTCTCAGGCCTTGTCTACCCCAGGAGCTAGTGGGCAGGGCTGCTCCTGGACAGCTGTGGGGACAAGGCCTGAGAGCAAAGGCCCTTTGCAGAGCCCACGGGCTGCTTGTTGTAACTGGCCCAGGGGCAGAGCTGGAAGAAAGGGTACTAAGGACACAGCAGGGCCTAGGGAATGGGACCCCATAGGCCAGCTGCCCAAGAGGCATTAGACAGGGAGCCTGCAGCCCGGGCCCATGCTTGAGCCACCAGAACTCAGAGCAACACCAGGAGCCAGTGGGCTTGGAAGCACGAGGGCCTGCAGGGTTGGGTCCGGTATCAGAGTCTGGTGACTGGCCACAGGGGACCCCACCCAGCACTTGGACAGCTGCAGACAGTAGCATTGCTGGGCCTGGCGCCCATGTGCCATCCCACACACCAGCTCCCAGGAGTCTCCCCAGGGCTTTGTGCTCCTCCCTGCCAGCAGCTCCCATCTCCCCCCACTCTCGGTTATGTCTTTTCCCTCCCCAGTGCCCTCAGCCAGCACTAACCCAGCATCACTCATTCTAGCCGCGGGAAACCAGGTTCTTGGTAGCCAGCCCCGGTCATCATTGCTAGTTCAGGTGAGATCACGGCTTACGGCTGCCAGGTCCTCTCTACTGCCCTATAGCAGTAACTACACTGCTCCCGCCCCACCTGAGTGCTGAAGTCAGGCCAACCATAGCCCCCTGTCATAGACACTGCAAGGTCAACTTATCCCCCTCCCCAGGGGCAGTGGCTGAGTGAAGCCAAGGGGAGAAGCTCTCCCAGCTGTGGGGTAGCAGTGTCCCTAAAGCCCCACAGCTGTACCGAGGGGAGGGGTGCTGTGCTGCTGCACGTGAAGACAAGCCCTGAGAGCATCCTTCAGGCCCAGGGAAAGCTGGAGGGAAGTAGTTCATACCAGTCGTGTGGCTAGCATGGGACTGGGCCCTGCCTCTTCCCACAGAGGGTCCCCATGCGGGCTACACAGCCTGGGTGCAGGGTAGGGCAGAACATCTGCCAACATGAAGTTTTGTCAAGCTCTGCCTGGACACAGCTTCTGTTAGAAAGGGGTGATGTGACGGTCTCTAATGAGAGCCACCCTCCTACCCCAGCTCCTTGGTAGAGAACCAGCCCTTCTGACCTTTCCGTTCAAAGAACAAGCTGTGCCCCAACTAGACAAGGGCTGAACTGGTCTATTGCACATCCTTAGTCACCCCCCAGGACTCTGAACACAGCTCAGCTGGCATTCAGGGACGAGACCTGTCCCTCCCCAATGCCCAGTTGATGGGTGTAGCATTGTACCTGCCTGATGTGGCAGGAGAGCAGTGGGTGGGGACGCGAGCGAGGGGAGCGAGTTCCCAGCACCAGGCAGGAGAGGATGCTGCAGCTGTCTGCATTGCCCCGGCCCTGCTCTGTAGGCAAAGCCTTCAGAGCCCCATGGACGGGGGGGCTAGCAGAGGCTGGAGCCAGGCCCACATGCAGTGATCACGCTCTACCCCACAGCCACTGGACAAAGGTACCCAGCTGCCAGGCAACCCGAGAGCTCTGAGGAGCCTCTAGCTGGGCCCACTTCTAGCTTTGCAGCCCTGGGGCCCGAGCCAAAGGACGTTTCGATCAAGGAGGAGACAGGCACAGAGCAGGGCTGGGACAGTTTATTTCGCTAGATTCTCACACAAACTGGGAGGTCTCAGTTCCAGACAGTTCCCACCTGCAGCTCAGGGTTACAAGGGTAGGGAGGGCAGGACCGTGAGCCCAGGCATTGCTCTGGTGCTAGGGGCTGGCCCTGGTCATTCGGTCGGCAGCCAGCGCTGGGAGCAGGGTGTGTAGCCACAGCTAGTCCTGGAGCGGGTTAGAGGCCAGGCAGTCACCACGGGGCAGAGCAGGAGTCTGGGGCCAGGCAAGAGCATCCTGCCAAGCCAGGCAGCGCTTCCCATTCACCCCGTGCTGAGAGCCAAGCTGGGAAACCAGACCCTGCCCGGAGCCAGGCAGGACACAGAGGGTGGGGGGCTCTGACAGCAGGGGAGTTGGAGAGTCTCCCTCCTGTGCATCTGCTCCAGACAGCAGAACCCTGCAGCTAGGAGCATAAGGGTGTGTGTGGCTGCACAATTGGCTCACCCTTAAAGGGCAGGGTGTAGTTTTGGGGGGCTGGAGCCCCCTGTGAGTGTCCAATCTGTTGAAGCAGAGGCACCAGGGCAGGCTGTGAGCCAGGGGAGGGGACACCTGTATTTCCAGGGAGCACAGGATGGCAGGGATCAGATAAGGAAGCGAGGTAGCTGAGGGCACTGTAACTAGAGGGGACCTGCCCTGGAACTGACAGAATAAATACACCCAGACAGTGAGTCACTGCATGTTACAGAGCTCAGATCCCCAGGGACATGGAGGGATCTCCCCCCAGAGCCTGCTGGGATTGAGGAGTGTGGCAGGAGAACCCAGACAATAAGATCAGAGGGACTGTCACAGGGGAGGGGTGGGGGACTAGTCTGGTTCTATCGTGTTGTGTCAGGGTTAGCAGTAGCTAGACAGAATCTGGAATCTGCTGGCCAGAGCCCAAAACAGGGCCGCAGGGCAAACACACCCTGTGCCCCGAGCAGAAATATTTCCTGTATAAGCCAGTGGGGCTGCCAGAGGCTTCTGGAGGCTCAGAGCAGGGACAGGAGAGCAGCCGGCAGCAGCAGCAGGACAGCCCGCGGTGCAGGAGAGGCGTCTCTCCCGTTCTGGGCGTAGTACTTGGCCACGGCCACGTTGGGGTTCCCGTTGGCAGGGTCGAACCACATCTGGATGCAGCGCCCGCCGCCCCGGTGCTCCGTGGTGTATTTGTAAGAGTTGGACCAGATCTTCTCGCACAGGTCCGCCGGCCGGGGGAAGACATACTTGAATGGCTGGCATATGGAGCCGCGGGGGCAACGGTTGGTCCCTGGGGAGGGAGAGAGGGCAGCAGTGAGCAAGCTGTGGCTGGACTCCATCTAGCCAGCCTTCCCCATCTCCGGCTGCTAGGCATCCGCTGGTCCCAGGCTACTGGCTGAGCTGGCAACGGCCCAGCTGGCTTGTGGGAGAAACTCCTTCCCCGTGAGGTGAAGTTCACGGGCTTGTAGCCACGTCACTCACCTCCTGGATTTATCCCTGGCTGGCACCCTGATGGGCTGGAGAGAGACAGATGGAGGCTAGTAAGAGTGAGGAACCTGCTACCCAGGGGAGCCCAGCTGGGCTCCCCCCACAGCTCTGCCAATGCACCTTGATCCTTCCAGGCCCTCCATCACCCCAGGGTCTGTAGCATAATTTAATCCTCATGAACCTTTGAGGTAGGGCAGTGCTCTTCTCCCCAGTACAGAAGTGGGAAACTGAGGCACAGACTGAATTAGGGTCACATAGTGACCCTATGGAAGATCAGTGCTAGCCAATACAGGAGCCCAACACTTGGCAGAGCTGCCTTCAGCCTTGCCACTAGCTAATTGAGAGCTTGTCAAAGGCAAAAATCCATCCAAGCTAGGTCCCAATACAGCTAGCTTCATGAGCCACTGGGCTAGAACCCAGTGTGCCAGAGACTAACAGAACAGAGACACCAAGCCAAGGAAGAGTTACCAACTGGTGGGTTGGGGCTTAGCCATGTGTGGAGAGTTTAGTAACTGGTAAAGCCACGCGGGACGTGGAGTTGGTTTAAAATCAGTGGCTCTCAACCTTTTGACAGGGGTACAGTCATCCGGAGAGTCTGATTTGCTTCATGTACCTCCGAGTTTCATTTAACTTAAAAACAGTGCTTGCTTACCAAATCAGACAAACAACAATTGTTAAGTGTGCTGTGACACTTGTGTGACTCATTTTTACCAGACAATTATAAAAATCAATTGGAATATAAATCTATACTATACACTGAAAGGCAAGTACAATAGACCAGTATAAACAAGTCATGGTCTGAAGTTTTAGTTTATACCAACTTCACTAGTGCTTTTTATGTAGCCTGTTGTAAGACTAGACAAGTTGATGTACCCCCAAGATGACCTCTGCATGCCCCCAGGGGTACATGTGCCCCTGTTTGAGAACCACTGGTTTAACCGCAGGATTCCTCCACAAACCTTCTGCTAAGGTGGACATGTTGCATAAAACAAGAAAAGTGACATTCCTACCCACTCCTGCAAAGCCAGAGATTGTATTGCACCGGGGTCTTTAGAAGGAACCACTAGGATGATCCAGTCTGACCCCCTGCCAAGGTGCAGGATTGGTTGTGACCAGACATTTGGCTTGGGTTCCTCATTTGGCTTCCTGCACATTTGAGAGCCGCGAACCATTGTCAGACAGTGGCCACCCTCTACAGTCAATAACAGGGAACTGAAGCAGATCGAGTCACAGGCTCCAAGCACTGGGCCATCCTTCCTCTGGGCATCATCTGACACCACCACTCCAGCCTCTAGGCTCCGAGCCCTATTCACTCTTCTGCCCACTGAAGGTACATGGGCATTCACAGCATGGATCTCGGAGTCCAGGTCTCCTGCCCGCTCCTTCTGCTCATCACTGGGGATCCCCATTTTGCACTCCCCAGCTCTGTCCCTGAGACGCCACTGCTGTGGCTGCCTCCAGGACCAGGACCCCCTTTGGAGGCAGGGGATACTGGCAAGCAGAGGGGCATCACACACCCAGTCATCTTGGGGAGGAAGACCCCAGAGCCACACAGCCATCTGCTGGGCAGTTCTGCTCACCCAGGAGGCAGATTTCCTGGCCTGTGCGCCAGCATGGGCACCATTGCCACAGCTGAATATGCCCCAGGTTCACAGGGGACGACCCACTCCCCCAATCTGACCCTGTGACGTTATTGACATAAACTGGGACCATATAGATCATTGTTGCAACCAAGGTCCT